ATTTAATTTGATCAAATAAATTTTCTGAGAATTCAAATTTTGTGTTTCAAGCAACTTAAATCCTTTAGAGATTTTCATATATATATATATATATATTGATATCAAATAAGCCATATAAATAGATTATAGGTACATTGATTATATGCATTTCAATCTTCTCATTTATTGCCAAACTAGTTAATTTGTAATTGCATCCACCACAGAAAATATATCTCTTCATACTTAATATCAAATCTTTGGGTAAAACCTTACTTTATAAATCATAATCTTATTTTTCTCATTTTATTTTTACACAAATACGCATTTATATTTTACTGATTTTACACTGTTTGGTGTATGGAATATAATTCTAAAAACTTCACGTTTTGCAAGTAAATTCAATTCCACCTTGATTGTGTCTTTCCAAGTTGGCTAATCATTTCTATTTCTACATTCTTCAATAGATGTAAGTTCAAGATTCTCATTTTCTTTCATAATATTGAGCGTTATATTATATACAAAAATATCATCAATGTTTATTTCATTATAATTCCATCTTTTCCTATCATGACATAATTTATTAAGATCTTTGCATTTTCACTAATTTTCAAGTATCTGAATTTCTTTTGAAATTTTATCAATTATGTCAGGGGGTTTCTTCTAGAGTTTTTATTTCCTATTTTTGATCATCTTAAATATTTGCTCGTTTGTTTTTTCGAAGATTTTATCTTTGGACCGATTGGTCTCCGACACTTCTAACGTGTCTTGTCTTATAAGGACATCAATTTTAATAGGAGCATTTGCAGCTATAATATGAGATTTTATTATTTTCTTGAGGTCAGTAAATATGTCTAGTAATTAATTTGCTATATTTAACAAATGAATTTTCGTTTGAACTTCATATTCACATTGATTTGTATAAGGATCAAAATTAGATAATTATAATACATTTCAAGAAAATTTGTTTCAACTACTTATTTTCTCCTCTTAATATTGGAAAACTATTTCATCAAGATGATAATTGGCAATGCTTACCATGAATAAATCTTCTATTAATGGTTCTATATATTTAATTATAGATAATTCGTATCCAACATATATTCTTAATCTCCTTTGAAGACCTATCTTCGTACGTTATGGTGGAGCAATTGAAAAATATACCGCATATTCAAAAATTTTGAAATGGAAAATATTTGATTTCTAATCATAAACCAATTGTATTAGAAAGAATTTAGAATAACTTGTTGGCATAATGCATACAAGTGCTGTTGTATCCAAAGAGGCATGCTCCTAAACAAAAATTGAGAGTTTATATTTCATAAGTAATAACCTTATAATAAGTTAAAAGTATTTAATAAATAATTCTATTAGACCATTTTGTGTATGAACATGAGCAATAAGTTATTCAATAGTTATTCCAACTAATATCCAATATTTATTAAAACTTGAAATGTAAATTCACTAACATTGTAAAGACGAATATTCTTAATTACATAATCAGAAAAAAGTGCATACAAATGTATGATTCCAAATATCAAACTGCAAGTTGATAATAAGCACACATATAACCATCTAGTTGATGTATTGATTAAAACTGTAATATATTTATATAGTTCACATGGTGGATGTATGAATCCACATATATCACTTTAAATATGTTTAAAAGAATGTAAGGTATTCGGACACAACTTTAGCTAGTAATGGTTTTATAATTAATTTACCTTCAAAGCAAGCGACACATAAGAATTTATTAGATTGAAATATTTTTTTGTTTTTCAATGGATGACTACATGTATTTTCAATAATTTTTCGCATCATTGTTGATCCGAAATGGCTTAACTAGTCATACCAAAAATAAAAATCATTCGTAAACTTGTGGTTTACTATAGCATAAGTTTCAAACATTTAATTTTGTGTAGCACAATCCAAAGAATAAAACAGTAATTTTTTTTATTATAGACTTCTTCCCCTAAATAATAAATATGATATAGAGGTATTAATTGTCGCTTTTATTTGTTGTCTCAATATGATATCTATTCAGACAAATATCTTTAAAATTTAATAAATTTCTTTGAGATGTTGAAAATAATACATCATCTATTATAAAGTTTGTTCCCCAAAATAGTAAAATAGTGACTCTTTTGAAACTTTCAATTAACCTTGTACTACTAGATATTGTATTGACATTGGTTTCTTCTATTGTTAAGTTAGAAAAATATTTCTTGTCTTCAAATATAGTATGCGTTGTATCAATGTTTGCAAGATGTATATTTACATCATAGATCTTGGATCCAATAAGATGAATATCTACATTTTTCTTCAATAAAATAAGATATATAATTAGAAACTTACAAATTAACATAAAAAAACATTAAATATATAATTAAAACATATAACAAGAATATATTATTTAAATATAATAAAAACATATTAAAACATCTCCATAATATAGTTATATTAAAATATACTAACTACTATTAAGAAATTTTATTCTCGGATATCTCCATTACTAATCAAATGATCAATTCCTTTTCAAAATAAGAAAATCAACAATTGATATTTTCATTACCAATCATATAATCAATTCCTCTTTCAAGGTGGACAAACATCTTGACATGTTATATCAACTTGGCCATGATTAAAATTATCATAAGATGTTTTAGTTTCATTGATGCTTGATAAAATTCAAGATGTATAAGAATTATGTGACTAATGGTCTTTCATGCCACATCAATGATGATACATTTTCTATATTCATTTTATTCTTTTCATTTTTATCTTTTCATTATTTATTCACTTCTGGTGGGTTACAAGTATTCATCTACTTTTAGTAAGTTACAAGCATTCATCTACTTTTGATAGGTTATAAGTATCTATCCACTTCTAATGGGTTATCCACTTCTGATAAGTTAGTGGGTTAAGGTATCAATCCACTTGTAGTGGTAAAATTATCCATCAACTTCTAGTAATAACATTATTCTTAAAATTAAAATAGTGATAGTGTAAATTATTATGGTAACCTCTTCTATGTCCATGATTATAATTATTAAATGATGTTGTATTCACTTTAGGAATGGATGG